ATTTTCCGATTTTTCACTTTTGTAATCTTTTAATTTTCTCTTTCTTCAATTTTGGGATTTGACTTTTTTGCAATTTTCCATTTTTCAATTTTGGAATTTTTTGACTTTGCAACTTGTGAATGTTTCTTTTGTTTTTATAATTTTTCGTTTATTCAACTTTTCAATTTTGTAGTTTTTGGATTTCTCAATTATCCGATTCTCCGATTTTTTAAATTTTCAGTATTTCGATTTTATAAGATTTTGTTTCTTCGATTTTTAAGGTTTTCAATTTTTAATCTTTCGATTTTTGATTTGAATTCTTCGTGTCTTTAATTTTGTCAAGTTTTTAGTTTCCAATTTTTAGATATTTCGAAGTTTCAGAATCCCCCAACTCCCAAAACTTCAAAATTTTGATTTTTACTTTTCATTTTCTCGATTTTTTAATTTTCATTTTCTCGGTTTTATATCACATTTCTTCGTGTTTTCATTTCCGTTACTTTTTCAACGTTTCTCTTGATTTTATAATTTCTCCTTTATTCAATCTTAATTTTTGTAATTTTTGGATTTCTTAATTATCCAATTTTGTGATTTCTTTAATTTCGTTTTTATATTTTGTTTTTTCGATTTTGCACTTTTAAATTTTTAAGGTTTTTCAATTTTTAATCTTTGGATTTTTGAATTTTTCGTTTCTTTAATTGTTCAAGTTCTTAATTTCCAATTTTTAGATATTTCGAAGTTTCCTCAAAATCCCCAAATCCTCAAAACACCAAATCCCCAAAACCTCAAAACATCAAGATCTCCAAATCCTCAAATCGTCAAAATTCCTAAATCCTCAAAACACTAAAATCCTCAAAACAGACACCAAAATCGTCTAATCTTCAAAAGATTAAAATTCCCAAAAAATGAAAACACCAAACTCCTCAAATTCTCAAAACGCCAAAATTCTCAAATCCCCAAAACATCAAAATCCCCAAATCCTCAAAACACAAAAATTTCTAAATCTTTAAAACATCAAAACCCTCAAATCCTCAAAACATCAAAATTCTCAGAGTCTTTTATAACCTGGGATTTTCGAGGGTTCATAAGGTGAAAAATTGAATTTCTGGAAAAATCAAAATACCAAAATCCCAAATCCTCAAAATTCCAAAACCCTCAAATCCTCAATTTTCAGCTTTATTTCCTCAAAATTTTAATGTTTCTATTTTTGAATTTCTCAATTTTTCGATTTTTTTTAATTTTTTGATTTCTCTATTTTTAACTTTAATTATTCTGTTTCTTTCAATTTTCGACATAACTATAAGTATTTTCCGATTTTTCACTTTTATAATTTATTAGTTTTCTCTTCCTTCAATTTTAAGATTTGACATTTTTTGCAATTTTGTATTTTTCAACTTTGGAATTTTTTGACTTTTCAACTTGTAAATTTTTCTTTTATTTTTACAATTTTTCGTTTATTCAATTTTTCAATTTTGTAGTTTTTGGATTTTTCAATTATCCGATTTTCCGATTTCTTTAATTTTCAATTTTTCGATTTTTAAATTCTTCGTTTTTTAGTTTTTCAAATTCTTAGTTTCATATTTTTTGATATTTCGAAGTTTCAAAATCTTCCAACCGTCAGAATCCCTAAATTCTCAAAATTCCCAAATCCTCCAACACCTAAATCTTCAGATCTTCAAAACACCAAAATCCCCTATCCTAAAAACATCAAAATCCCTAGAATCTCAAAACAAAAATCCCCAAATTCTCAAAACATCCAAATCTTCAAAATATCAAAATCTTCTAATCGTCAAAGTCCCTAACTTCTCAAAGTTCCCAAATCCTCGAAACACCTAATTCCTCAAATTCCTATAACATCAAAATCCTCAAAACACCAAAATCCCCAAATCCTCAAAACTTCAAAATCTTGATGTTTACTTTTCATTTTCTCGATTTTATATCACAATTTTTCGTGATTTCGTTTCCCTTACTTTTTCAACGTTTCTCTTGATTTTTTTTTCAATTCCCTGATCTTTCAATTTTGTAATTTTTAGATTTCTTAAATAATCAGATTTTCTGATTTCTTTAATTTTCAGTATTTCGATTTTATAATATTTTGTTCCTTAGATTTTGCAGTTTTTCAATTTTTAATCTTTCGATTTTTCAATTTTTCGTTTCTTTAATTTTTCAAGTTCTTGGTTTCCAATTTTTAGATATCTCGAAGTTTCAAAATCGTCAAGATCCCTAAATCCTCAAAATCCCCAAATCCTCATAACACCATGATCCTCAAATCCTCAAAACAACCAAATCTCCAAATCCTCAAAAAATCAAAATCCTCAAATCCTCAAAACACCAAAAAATTCTCAGCTCATAACACCACAATTCTCAAATGCTCAAAACAACAAAACCCCCAAATCCTCAAAACACCAAAATCCCAAAATCTTCAATACCCCAAAATTTCCGAAGAAATGAAAACACCAAAATCCTCAAAATATCAGAATCCTCAAATCCTCAAAGCATCAAAATCTTCAATACCAAAATTCCTAAATCCTCAAAACTTCAAAATCCCCAAATCGTCAAAACACCATAATCCCCAAATCCTCAAAGCACAAAAATTTCCGAATCCTGGGAAATTTGGTGTTTTGAGGATTTGAGTTTTTTGGGCGTTTTGGCGTTTTGAGGATTTGGGGATTTTGGTGTTCTCAGGTTTTGGGGATTTTGGTGTTTTGAGGATTTGGGGATTTTGGTGTAATGAGGTCTTGGGGATTTTGGTGTTTCGAGGATTTAAGGATTTAATTGTTTTGGGAATTTGAGGATTAAAGTGTTTTAAGAATTTGAGGATTTTGGGGTTTTGAGGATTGAAAATTTTAAAACTACGAAACACTTAAATCCCCAATCCTCAAAACGCTTAAATCCTTTAATCCTCGAAACACAAGAATTTTCAAATCTTCAAGATCCCCAAAACACTAAATTCACCAAAACCTGAAAACACCAAAATCCCCAAATTCCTCAAATCCTTGAAACACCAAATTCCCTTAATCCTCGTAACATGAGAATTTTCAAATGCTCAAAACTTCAAAATCCCCAAATCCTCAAAACACCATAATCTCCAAAACCGTAAACTCATCAAATCCTGAAAACACCAAAATCCCTAAATCGTCAAGACACCAAATTCCTCAATTCCTTAAAACACTAAAATCACTTAATCCTCAAAACACCTAAGTTCTCAAAAGATCAAAATCTTCAAATCGTCAAAATAACAAAATCTTCAAAATATCCAAATCCTTTAATCCTCAAAACACCAAAATTTTCAAATCCTCAAAACATCAAAATCCTCAAATCCTAAAAACATCTTAATCTTCAAATCCTCAAAACTTCAAAATCCTCAAATCCTCAAAACACTAACATCAAAACCTGAAAAAACCAAAATCGCCAAATTCTCAATACATCCAAATCCCCAAAACCTGAAAACACCAAAATTTTCAAATACTCAAAGCACTTAAATTCTCAAATCTTCAAAACACCAAAATCCTTAAATCCTCAAAATATCAAAATCATCAAATCGTCAAAACACCAAAATCCTCAAATCTTTAAAACTTCAAAATCCTCAAATCCCCAAAACACCAAAATTCCCAAATCATGAAAACACCAAAATTCCCAACTCCTCAAAAAATCAAAATTGCTAAAATCTGAAAACACCAAAATCCTAAAATCCTCAAAACACCAAAATTCTCCGAGTCTCCAGTGGCCCGGAAATTTTGAGGTTTCATAAGGCGAAAATTTGAGTTTCTAGCAAGTCTGTTTAAAAAGCCAGGAAAAATTCAGTCAAAATCTAACGTGATGATTTAAAACATATCAAAAAATCAAAACACCAAATCCTCAAATTCTTAAAATGCCAAAAGGCCCAAATTGTCAAGCCACCAAAATCCCCGACTCCCCAAAAGTCAAAATGCTCGACTCCTCGAAACATCAAAATCCTCTAAATCTCTAAATCCCAAAATCTTCAAAACACCGAAATTTTTCAAATCCTTAGAACATCAAAATCCCGAATTCCTCAAAATATCTAAATATTCAAAACGTCAAAATACCCAAAATCCGAGGGTCTATAAGGCGAACAATTGACTTTCTGGAAATGTTTAAAAATCCAGGAAAAATTCAATTTTGACGTGATGGTTTGAAAAATATAAAAAATTAAAAACACCAATGTCCTCAAATCCACAAAACACCTAAATCCTTAAAACACAGAAATCCCCTAATCCTCAAAACACCAAAATTTTCAAATCCTCAATTCCTCAAAATATCTAAATACTTAAAACGTAAAATACCAAATTTCGGGGGTCTCTAAGGTGAACAACCGAGTTTCTGAAAATGTTTAAAAATCCAGGAAAAATTCAATTTTCACGTGTTCACAGTACCAACACAATACATTTTCACTAATATTTATTATTAATAAATTAGAAATTAGCGAAAATAAGCCAAACCGGAGCTCCAATGTTGCTGCCATCAGACCGAAATCTAAAATGAACACAAGCGGCCGAAAAATGCGACCCTTAAACAGGTAGCTCACGTGACAGTGACGTCATCGCACGTCACGATGATTGCAAAAATGATTTTTCATATTTCGGCCAGGAAATTGCACATTTTCGGGGTTAATTTAATAATATTTAAACAAATTGATTCGTTTTTTAGCAACTTTGCGTTTTGAAGAAAACGGTGTTCGATTTAATTATCATATATTAATACGTATCGTATTTAAATATTATTTAATTATATCGTGAAAATTTATTATTTTGATCGAGCAACTTCAATCGTTTCGAAAATTTCCCCAAAATTTAAACTTTGTCGAGTAAACGAATCACGGAATCTGATAAATTAAAACTGAAGTTTTACTTATTCCGTTTTCGGTCCTTTTCGGAAAAATATCCATTTTTTTCCGTGTTCACAGCAATAACACAATACATTTTCCCTAATATTTGTTAATAATAAATTAGCAAGATTTTTGAAATATTTGGACTGAAAATCAAAGGTTACAAAAAACACCACCCTACTTTTCAAATCTTTATTCTCATTTCATAGGAAGGTACACAATACGTACTTCGAACACAGACTACTCCTACTACGTCCTCGAAATATCACAGGCAAAAACAACAAAAAACAACAAAAACAATTACATCCCCCCGCTAACTTTCTTGTGCATCTTTAAATGTCTCGTCAGATGCGCCTTGTTCCTCGCATTGTACGAACACACCATGCATTTATACGTCCCCCCATCCTCCTCCTTCACGTGCCTCAACTTATGCGTATTCAGCGCATCCACCCACTTCGTCTTAAACGGACACTCCTTACACCTATACTTGAACGACTCCTCCCCGTCGTTGTGCACCGAAATGTGCCTCGTCAGCTTCTTCTTCTTCGTGTGCTCGTACAGACAATACGGACACTTGTACGCCTTGTTGGCGTTCCGGTGCGACAGCATGTGGCTCCTCAGACACTTCTTCCGCGTCGTCTCGAACACGCAGACCGTGCACTTGTGGGTGCTCCCGAACTCGTCGTCGGCGATGGGCGCCATGTGTTTCGTCAGACTCGCCTTCCTCCGGGTCTCGAACGGACAATACGTACACTTATACGTATGGATCTCGTCCTTGCTCTTGTGACTCAGCGAGTGCTTGAACAGCGACCTCTTCTCCTTGGTCTTGTACGGGCACTCGCTGCACTGGTACTTGTAGAAGTCGTCCGACGTCTTGTGCACCAGCATGTGCGAGGTCAGGCTGTAGCTCAGCTTGGTCTGGTAGCTGCACTCGGGGCACTTGTAGATCATGGCCTCGGAGTCGTGGTTGTGGATGAGCAGGATGTGGCGCTGGAGGCCGTCCTTGCGCTTGGTGGAGAAGTCGCACTCGGGGCACTTGTGCATCTCCACCTGGCCGTCGGACTTGTGGATGAGGCTGTGCTTGCGCAGGTAGTGCTTGCGCTTGGTCTCGTAGGAGCAGTCGCTGCAGCGGTAGATGGGGGTCTCGTCGCGGGACTTGTGGAGGAGGATGTGCTCGGCGAGGCTCTTGCGGTACTTGGACCGGAAGGTGCAGTAGTCGCACACGTACTTCTTCTCAGAGTCGCCGTACTTGAGTTTCCGGCGGGTGTTGTGTTTGTACTCAGGCTTGGGGTGGGGGAAGGTGGAGCTGCTGCGAATTCAAACACAAAAACTGAGCTGTCTAGTACGTCATATTGCAACAGAAATCTTAGATTAAAATAATTACGTAACAAATATATATAAATCGAGAAGCAGCATAGAAAAGGTTCCGCAAGGTAACCTTGAGCATCGAAAAATCAAAAACACGTTTTTGACTTTCGTGTTCAAAAAATTGTTTAATGTTATTAAATAAACAGCAAAATATATACCCCGCCCACCCACCCCATCTCGTTTGTAAAGATTTTTTTATTCATAAAAACTTAAAACGTGTTTAAAATGGTCATTCGTCGTAGAAAAATAAGGATTTTACACTTAAGCACCGCCCCTCGGCTTACGACGAATAACAAAATTCATCAGAATCGAGATTGGGTGGATGGGCGGGGCTTATATTTTGTCCACTTTGTCTTAATATACATGGCCATTTTTTCACAACAAAAAGATGCAAAATCGATATTTCCTTCTACAAATTTTCCATTTTAAACTAGTTTTAAGTTTTATGTTGTGAAAAAAGTCTACACATATTAAAACAAGAAGGCAAAATGTAAGCCCGCCCACCCGCCCCATCTCGATTGTGATGATTTTTTTATTCGCCGTGAACCAAGAGGGCGGAGCGTAACTGCAAAATACTTATTTCTTTACAAGAAATTAAAATGACGTTTTTAGTATCGTGTTGTTCAAACATAACCATATATATTAAAAAAAAGGCAAAATATATACCCCGCCCACCCACCCTGTCTCGATTGTGAAGATTTTTTTTATTCTTATAAATTTAAAACATGTTTAAAATGGTCATTTCTCGTAGAAAAATAAGGATTTTACAATTAAGCTCTGCCCTCCTCTTACGACGAATAAAAAACAAATCATCAGATTCGAGATTGGGTGGGTGGGCGGGACTTATATTTTGTCCATTTTGTCTTAATATACAAACCCATTTTTTTTTTCACAACAAAAAAATGCAAAATCGATGTTTCCTTCTACAATTTTTCCATTTTAACTTGTTTTAAGTTTTATGTTGTGAAAAAAAGTCTACACACATTAAAACAAGGAGGCAAAATGTAAGCCCGCCCACCCGCCCCATCTCGATTGTGATGATTTTTTTATTCGCCGTGAACCAAGAGGGCGGAGCGTAACTGCAAAATACTTATTTCTTTACAAGAAATTAAAATGACGTTTTTAGTATCGTGTTATTCAAACATAACCATATACATTAAAAAAAAAGGCAAAATATATACCCCGCCCACCCACCCTGTCTCCATTGTGAAGATTTTTTTTATTCTTATAAATTTAAAACATGTTTAAAATGGTCATTTCTCGTAGAAAAATAAGGATTTTACAATTAAGCTCTGCCCTCCTCTTACGACGAATAAAAAACAAATCATCAGATTCGAGATTGGGTGGGTGGGCGGGACTTATATTTTGTCCATTTTGTCTTAATATACAAACCCATTTTTTTCACAACAAAAAAATGCAAAATCGATGTTTCCTTCTACAATTTTTCCATTTTAACTTGTTTTAAGTTTTATGTTGTGAAAAAAAGTCTACACACATTAAAACAAGGAGGCAAAATGTAAGCCCGCCCACCCGCCCCATCTCGATTGTGATGATTTTTTTATTCGCCGTGAACCAAGAGGGCGGAGCGTAACTGCAAAATACTTATTTCTTTACAAGAAATTAAAATGACGTTTTTAGTATCGTGTTATTCAAACATAACCATATACATTAAAAAAAAGGCAAAATATATACCCCACCCACCCACCCTGTCTCGATTGTGAAGATTTTTTTATTCTTATAAATTTAAAACATGTTTAAAATGGTCATTTCTCGTAGAAAAATAAGGATTTTACAATTAAGCTCTGCCCTCCTCTTACGACAAATAAAAAACAAATCATCAGATTCGAGATTGGGTGGGTGGGCGGGGCTTATATTTTGTCCATTTTGTCTTAATATACAAACCCATTTTTTTTTCACAACAAAAAAATGCAAAATCGATGTTTCCTTCTACAATTTTTCCATTTTAACTTGTTTTAAGTTTTATGTTGTGAAAAAAAGTCTACACACATTAAAACAAGGAGGCAAAATGTAAGCCCGCCCACCCGCCCCATCTCGATTGTGATGATTTTTTTACTGTTAGAAACCTAAAACATGTTTAAAATGGTCATTCCTCGTAGAAAAATGAGGATTTTACAATTAAGCTCCGCCCCTCGGCTTACGACGAATAAAAAAATTCATCAGAATCGAGATTGGGTGGGTGGGCGGGGCTTTAACTATGTCCATTTTGTCTTAATATACATAGCCATTTTTTCGCAACAAAAAAATGCAAAATCGATCTTTCCTTATACAAATTTTCCATTTTAAACATGTTTTAAGTTTCATGTTGTGAAAACAAGTCTGCACATATTAAAACGCAAAGATAAAATCTAAGCCCGCCCACCCGCCCTATCTCGATTATTATAATTTTTTTATTCGCCATGAACCAAAGCTTAACTGCAAAATAGTTATTTCTTTACAAGGAATTAAAATCACGTTTTTTAGTATCGTGTTGTTTAAACAATACTAGATATATTAAGAAAAAAAGGCAAAATATAAACCTCGCCCACCCACCCCATCCTGATTGTGAAGATTTTTTTATTCTTGGAAACCTAAAACATGTTTAAAATGGTCATTCCTCGTAGAAAAATGAGGATTTTACAATTAAGCTCCACCCTCGTCTTACGACGAATAAAAAACAAATCATCAGAATCGAGATTGGGTGGGTGGGCGGGGCTTATGTTTTGTCCACTTTGTCTTAATATACACAGCCATTTTTTTACAACAAAAAAATCCAAATCGATATTTCCTTCTACAAATTTTCCATTTTAAACTTGTTTTAAGTTTTATGTTGTGCAAAGAAGTCTACACATATTAAAACAAGAAGGCAAAATGTAAGCCCGCCCACCCGCCCCATCTCGATTGTGATGATTTTTTTATTCGCCGTGAACCAAGAGGGCGGAGCGTAACTGCAAAATACTTATTTCTTTACAAGAAATTAAAATGACGTTTTTAGTATCGTGTTATTCAAACATAACCATATATAATAAAAAAAAGGCAAAATATATACCCCGCCCACCCACCCTGTCTCGATTGTGAAGATTTTTTTATTCTTATAAATTTAAAACATGTTTAAAATGGTCATTTCTCGTAGAAAAATAAGGATTTTACAATTAAGCTCTGCCCTCCTCTTACGACGAATAAAAAACAAATCATCAGATTCGAGATTGGGTGGGTGGGCGGGGCTTATATTTTGTCCATTTTGTCTTAATATACAAACCCATTTTTTTTTTCACAACAAAAAAATGCAAAATCGATGTTTCCTTCTACAATTTTTCCATTTTAACTTGTTTTAAGTTTTATGTTGTGAAAAAAAGTCTACACACATTAAAATAAGGAGGCAAAATGTGAGCCCGCCCACCCACCCCATCTCGATTGTGATGATTTTTTTACTGTTAGAAACCTAAAACATGTTTAAAATGGTCATTCCTCGTAGAAAAATGAGGATTTTACAATTAAGCTCCGCCCCTAGGCTTACGACGAATAAAAAAATTCATCAGAATCGAGATTGGGTGGGTGGGCGGGGCTTATATTATGTCCATTTTGTCTTAATATAGATAGCCATTTTTTCACAACAAAAAATGCAAAATCGATATTTCCTTATAAAAATTTTCCATTTAAAGAATGTTTTAAGTTTCATGTTGTTCAAAGAATACCACATATATTATTTAAAAAAATGGCAAAATATATACCCCGCCCACCCACCCCATCTCGATTGTGAAGATTTTTTTATTCTTAGAAACTTAGAACGTGTTTAAAATGGTAATTTCTCGTATAAAAATGAGGATTTTACAATTAAACTCCGCCCCTCGGCTTACGACGAATAAAAAAATTCATCATAATCGAGATTGGGTAGGTGGGCGGGGCTTATATTATGTCCATTTTGTCTTAATATACATAGCCATTTTTTCGCAACAAAAAAATGCAAAATCGATATTTCCTTATACAAATTTTCCATTTTAAAGTAGTTTTAAGTTTAATGTTGTGAAAAAAAAGTCTACACATATTAAAGCAAGAAGGCAAAATGTAAGCCCGCCCACCCACCCCGTCTCGATTGTGATTATTTTTTTATTCGCCGTTAACCATGGAGCGGAGCTTAACTGCAAAATATTTATTTCTTTACAAGAAATTAAAATCACGTTTTTGGGTATTGTGTTGATCAAACAATACTAAATATATTAAGAAAAATAGGCAAAATATAAACCCCCCCAACCCACCCTGTCTCGATTGTGAAGATTTTTTTATTCTTAGAAACTTAAAACGTGTTTAAAATAGTTTTTTCTCGTAGAAAAATAAGGATTTTACAATTAAGCTCCACCCCTCGGCTTACGACGAATAAAAAACATCATCAGAATTGAGACAGGGTGGGTGGGCGGGGCTTATATTTTGTCCATTTTGTCTTAATATGCATAGTCATTTTTTTACAACAAGAAATTGCAAAATCGATGTTTCCTTATACAAATTTTCCATTTTAAACATGTTTTAAGTTTCGTGTTGTGAAAAGAAATCTACACATATTAAAACAAGAAGGCAAAATATAAACCCCGCCCACCCACCCTATCTCAATTGTGATTATTTCTTTTATTCTTAGAAACTTAGATCGTGTTTAAAATGGTAATTTCTCGTAGGAAAATAAGGATTTTAGAATTAAGCTCCGCCCTTCAGCTTACGACGAATAAAAAAAATCATCAGAATTGAGACAGGGTGGGTGGGCGGGGCTTATATTTTGCCTTTTTTTTCTAAATATACATAGCCATCTTTTCACGATAAGAAATTGCAAAATCGATATTTCCTTATACAAATTTTCCATTTTAAACATGTTTTGAGTTTCATGTCGTGGAAATAAATCTACAAATATTAAAAAAAAAGGTAAAATATAAGCCCCGCCCACCCACCCCATCTCGATTGTGAAGATTTTTGTTATTCGTAGAAACTTTAAACGTGTTTAAAATGATAATTTTTCGTAGAAAAATAAGGATTTTACAATTAAGCTCCGCCCCTCGGCTTCAGACGAATAAAAAAATTCATCAGAATCGAGATAGGGTGGGTGGGTGGAGCTTATATTTTGCCTTGCTCTTTCTTAATATACATAGCCATCTTTTCATAACACGCAATTGCAAAATGGATATTTCCTTATACCATTTTTCCATTTTAAGCATGTTTTAAGTTTCATGTTGTGAAAAGAAATCTACACATATTAAAACAAAAAGGCAAAATATAAGCCCCGCCCACCCGCCCTATCTCAATTGTGATGATTTTTTTATTAGCCGTGAAGCAAGAGGGCGGAGCTTATCTGCAAAATACTTATTTCTTTACAAGAAATTACAATCACGTTCTTGAGTATCGTGTTGTTCAAAGAATACTGTGTATATTAAGAAAAAAAAAAAGGAAAAATATGTGCGCCACCCACCCTGCCCCATTTCGATTGTGAAGATTTTTTTTATTCTTAGAAGCTTAAAACACGTTTAAAATGGGAAATTTTTGTAAGAAGATATGGATTTGGTAATTAGGCTCCGCCCCTTGGTCTGCCAACGAATGAAAACGTCATTACTGTTTAGATCAGGGCAGGTATGGGTGGGGCTTAATCTTTGGCTTTAACTTTCTAGGACAACTTTTGGACACCTTTTAGATCCCTGAAGGTACTTTTATATCCCCGCAGACACTTTCTGGGTCCCCAGAGCAAGATTTTGGATCCCCGAAGACTTCTTTTGAATCACAGGAGACACTTTTAATTTCACCAAAGATCTTTTGGATTTCTAAGATCATCTTATGGATATTCGGGATTTTTCGAGTCACTGGAGACACGCTTCAGATCATCTGAGATACCTTTTGATCCTCGGGGACATATTTTAGATCCTCGGGGACTCCTTTTGGACTCTAGTGGAGATGTTTTGGATCCCTGGAGACACTTTTCGCATCACCGGACATCCCTTTTGATCCCCGGGAACATATTTCGGATCTCCGGAAGCACTTTTTAGATCTCAGGAGACAGTTTCTTGTTCACCGAAGATACCTTTTAGATTGTCAGAAAACTTTTTGGATCTGCGGAAACTCTTTTTGGATCATCGGGGATACTTTTCGTATCATCAGATCTTTTGGATTTCCCACGTCATCTTATGGATATTCGGGATTTTTAGAGTCACCGGAGACATTTTCAGATCATCTGAGACACCTTTTGATCCCCGGGGACACGTTTTATATCCCCAGAGACACTTTTCGCATCACCGGAGATACCTTTTGATCCCCGGGGACATCTTTTGCTTCCCAAGAATATTTTTTGGATCTCCGGAAGCACTTTTTAGATCATAGGAGACAGTTTCTTGTTCACCGAAGAGATCTTTTAGATTGTCAGAAAACTTTCTGGATCTTCGGCGACTTTTTTTGGATCAGCGGAGATACTTTTCGTATCATCAAAGATCTTTTGGATTTCCCAAGTCATCTTATGGATATTCGGGATTTTTCGAGTCACTGGAGACATTTTCAGATCATCTGAGTCGTCTTTTGATCCCCGGGGGCACGTTTTATATCCCCGGAGACACATTTTAGATCCGCGAGGACTTCGTCCGACTTCCGTGGACCCCTTTTGAATCCCCGGAGACTCTTTTCACATCACCGGCGATACTTTTCAGATCACCAGAGGCACTTTTCAGATCGCTGCAGACAATTTCCTGTTTACCAAGGTGATGTTTTAGATTATAAAAAAAAAATGTTTCCCCTAGGACAATTTTTTGATACACTTTAGATCCCCGGAGGCACTTTTCAGATCATCTGAGACATATTTTGATCCCCGGGACACATTATATATCACCAGAGACCCTTTTTGGATCCCCGGAGACACCTTTTAGAACCTCGGGGACTCTCTTTAGACTCACGTGGAGATCTTTTGGATCCCAGGTAACATCTTGTGTACTCCCCAGGGACATCTTTTGGATCCCCGGAGGCACTTTTCGGATCACCGGAAACCGAAGAGATCTTTAGGATTGTCAGAAAACTTTTTGTATCTTTGGGCGATCTCAAGGATCCTCGGTATTTTCTGTCGTTTGAGACACTTTTTAGATCACCTGAGACATCTTTTGATCTCCGGAGAATCAAGAAGTGCCTCCAGGGATCTAAAAGGTGTCCCATGGGATACAAAGATCTTTCTGGCAATCAAAAAGATCTCTTCAGTGAACAGAAAAGTGTCTCTGGTGATCTAAAAAGTGCCTCTGGTGATCTGAAAAATATTTCCGGGATCTTAAAGATGTCCACGGAAACCCAAAGGGAGTCCCCGGGGATCTAAAACGAGTTTCCCAGTACCTGAAAAATGACTCAACTGTGGAAAAAACCTGTCCCCGAGGATCAAAAGGCGTCTCAGATGATCTGAAAGTGTCTCCAATGGCTCGAAAACTTCTTACAATCTAAAAGATCTCTTCGGTGAACAAGAAGATATACGGTGTCTCCGGGGATCAAAAGTGTCTCAGATGATCTGAAAAGTGTCTCTAGTGACTCGAAAAACCCCAAATACCAAATGACCTTGGGAATCTAAAAGATCTTTAGTGAAATTAAAAGTGTTTCTTGTACTCCAGAAGGAGTCCCCGGGGATCCAAAATGTGTCTCCGAAGATCCAAAAAGTTTTCTAACAATCTAAAAGATCTCTGCGGTGAACAAGAAAGCGTCTCCTCTGATCTAAAAAGTGCTTCCGGAGATCCAAAGGGTATCTGCGATGATGCAAAAAATGTCTACGGGGATCCAAAAGATCTCCACGGGAGACCAGGAGTCCTCCAAGGATCAAAAAGTGTTTCAGATGATCTGAAAAGTGTCTCCAATGACTCTAAAAAGCCCAAATATCCATAACATGACCTTGGGAATCCAAAAGATCTTTGGTGAAATGAAAACTGTCTCCTGTGATCCAGAAGGAGTCCCCGGGGATTCAAGAAGTGCCTCTGGGGATCTAAAAGATGTCCAAAAGGTGTCCTAAGAGATACAAAAATTTTTCTGACAATCTAAAAGATCTCTATTCACTGGAAAGGAAAGGTCTCTGGCAATCTGAAATGTGTCTCCAGTGATCTGAAAAGTATTCCCGGGGATCCCAAAGATAACTACGGGAGTCCCTAGATCTAGATCTAGTTTCCAGGAACCTGAAAAGTAACCCTCGGGATATAAAACGTGTCCCCGGGGATCAGAAGACGTCTCAGATGATCTTGAGAATCCAAAAGATCTCTGGTGAAACGAAAAATATACCCGGGGATTCATAAAGTGTCCCCGAAGATATAAAAAGTTTTCTAGAGTGTCTCCGAGGATCTAAAAGTGTCTCCGGGAATCTAAAAGTGTCTCCGGTGATACAAAAGTTGTTTCCGGGGGTCTGGAGAATCCCCGGAGATCTCAAACGTTTGCTGACAATTTAAAAGGTCTCTCTGGAAGGAATTTCCAGATGACCCGAGGAATCCAGAAGATCGCTGGTGAAACGAGAAGAATCTTCGAGGATCCAAAATGTGGATACGATTTTAACAAGTGTGATATGATCAAATGAATATTAATAAGCAGCCAAGAAGTATAAATTTAATTCTTGTTGTTCATGTCTGCCTCTGATTGAGTTTTTTTCTCCAATAATAGACTAGTTTGACCCGACGGTGTATTGATGGTTGCATACACCAAATGTCAATTAATGGCCACCAGGCGACTATCGATAAATAATTAAATAAAATAGGTCACCTGGTCGCTACTAACTTCTACACAACCCCTAAATTAGCCAAACGGAACCATTAACTCTAAACTACTTAAACCTAACCTAAATTCGCCTCACACTCTCACACTCGCACAAATCTCAAAACCCTCTTCCACCCTGCCAACTTACTTTGGAGGTTTTCCGTCTACCAGTACCAAATTGTCAACAACAGGCTTTACATCAGCGTCCCCTCCACCGCCACTACCCTCAACTCCACCCTTCAAGTTACTCGATACCTTAACATCGACACACTGGTCTTTTTCCTTAGCCTCGAGCTTCTTCTGGGCACTGATCTTCGAGCACTTGTACGAGTAGAAAAAGTCCTCCAGGTACAACCTCCGCTTCTGCCCATTGTTGATTCGGTTGAGTAGATTTGTGACAGTGCCAGGCTTCGTTGCCATTTCTTCGGAAAAAAAAAATTAGGAATGTTTACACAGGCGTGTGCTGGTCTACAGATACTAACGTGAAAAGGTCGAATCGTGCCGATTTGGGAATTATCTTACAATGTAAATAAACACTACAACCTCATTTTAATCATTTTGACGTTTGGTTTTAAACATGGAGGTGGCTGGAGTTACGGCAGATGAATAAAATCGATTTTGTGTTTTTATTGAAGGGACGGCGATGGTTTTGGGGGGCGTGGGTGGTTTTGGAGAGGGCGCGATGGGGAAAAAATGGTTCGTGGTGATTTTGTGGGTGGCAAGGGTTTCGATGTTACATAACCTTACTTTTTTGCTGGATGTTTTTGCGGTTTGAAAGTTAGTTTGTGAGGATTTCATGCTAACACGGTGTTTTTCGAAGTTATTTATTTATTTTCGGTGCAAAAATATGCATTGTTGGTGTTTTAGATTGTTATTGTGGGTAATTTAAACTCGCAGTGTGTATAACTGGTTGCCTATAATTCAAATTTTGAATGGAGGTGTATATTTTTTATTTTTGAATTTTGACGTTTCTGTTCAATATGGCTGCCATAACCCATTTTGGCGGTTAAAACTTTGACGCCATTTTAAGTAATACGTCACAAAACTCAATGTTGTCGCATATTTGTTTAAGGTCTTTGACCAAGAAGCTTGCAAAACTCGTTTTTGTCACTCGTGCGAATAAAAGAGTTTATAAAATTTGATTATAATAATAACGGCATGTTTTGCTAATAAAATTTTATTAACCGTTATCTTGCCATAAATTCAGGAGTTAAAACTAAAATAGTGCAAGCAAAACCGACACCTTGATCTAATTTCAGCAAGGTGTTCAAGATCATTTTGACGCAGTGGAGTAATTAAGACGATCCATTAAAGGCATGGTTGTGTACCGTTTTAAGTTAACCCATCCAGTGAGGTCAGAATTATAGGGTTTTTCCTATGCTATTCAGTTTTTATGCGAACGACTCTCTAGTCATAAATTATAACATCAAGTGTTTTTTATCTATGCCAAACAAGATGTTCGTTTTTGGTTGCGAAGAATAAAACTAAAACAGATGGAACAAGTTTGTTTTTTGAGCTAGATATAAAGGCGTTTGCAGAATGTTAATCAATTCCTGACGTCAGTCATGAATTTTTAATTTTATGAATATTTTTACAATTTACATTGATTTGTAAAATCCGGAAATCGAAAAAGTGTCTCTGGGGATATAAAATAAAGGTGTCTTCGGGGATCCAAAAAGTATCCAAAGATCCCCAGAGATACAAAGAGTTTTCTGATAATCTAAAAAATCTTTATAGTAAAACGGAAAATGTCTCTGGTGATCTGAAAAATGTCTCCAGTGACCCGAAAAATCCCCAGGATCCATAAGATGACTCTGGGAATCTAAGAGGTCTTTGGTGAAATGAATTGTGCTTTCGGGGATTCCAAAGATGTCTCCGGGGATTTTAAAAGTGTCTCTGAAGATCCGAAAACAGTCTCTGGGGATCCGAAAAGTATCTCCGTTGTTCTAAAAAGTATCCTCGGGGATCCAGAAAATGTCTCCAGGGATCCGAAAAACGTCTAAGGGGATCTGAAAAGTGTCTTCGAGAATGTAAACGTTGACCTCGGGAACTCCGGAAGTTTCCCCAGGGATCCCCGGGGATTCAAAGAGTTTTCTTATAATCCAAAAGATCCCTTCAGTAAACCGAAAAATGTCTCTGGTAATAATCTGAAAAATGTCTCCAGTGACTCGAAAAATCCCCAGGATCCATAAGATGACTCTGGGAGTCTGAGAGATCTTTGTTGAAATGAATTGTGCTTTCGGGGATTCCAAAGATGTCTCCGGGGATCTTAAAAGTGTCTCTGGAGATCCGAAAACAGTCTCTGGGGATCCGAAAAGTATCACCGGTGTTCTAAAAAGTATCCTCGAGTATCCAGAAAGTGTCTCCAGGGATCCGAAAAACGTCTAAGGGGATCTGAAAAGTGTCTTCGAGAATGTACACGTTGTCCTCGGGAACTCTGGAAGTTTCCCCGGGGATCCACAATGTGTCCAAAAGATGTTCTCAGAGATTCAAAGAGTTTTCTTGTTATCTAAAAAATCTTTTCAATAAAACGGAAAATGTCTCTGGTGATCTGAAAAATGTCTCCAGTGACCCGAAAAATCCCCAGGATCCATAAGATAACCCTACGAATCTAAGAGATCTTTGTTGAAATGAATTGTGCTTTCGGGGATTCCAAAGGTGTCTCCGGAGATCTTAAAAGTGTTTCTGAAGATCCGAAAACAGTCTCTGGGGATCCAAAAAGTATCTCCGGTGTTCTAAAAAGTATCCTCGGGGATCCAGAAAGTGCCTCCAGGGATCCGAAAAACGTCTAAGGGGATCTGAAAAGTGTCTTAAAAAATGTATAAGTTGTCCTCCGGAACTCCGGAAGTTTCCCCGGGGATCCAAAATGTGTCCAAAAGATGTTCTCAGAGATTCAAAGAGTTTTCATGTTATCTAAAAGATCTCTTCAGTAAACCGAAAAATGTCTCTAGTGATCCGAAAAATGTCTCCAGTGACCCGAAAAATCCCCAGGATCCATAAAATGTCTATGGTAATCTAAGAGGTCTTTGTTGAAATAAATTGTACTTTCGGGGATTCCAAAGATGTCTCCGGGGATCTTAAAAGTGTCTCTGGAGATCCGAAAACAGTCTCTGGGGATCCGAAAAGTATCACCGGTGTTCTAAAAAGTATCCTCGAGTATCCAGAAAGTGTCTCCAGGGATCCGAAAAACGTCTAAGGGAATCTAAAAAGTGTCTTCGAGAATGTAAACGTTGTCCTCGGGAACTCTGGAAGTTTCCCCGGGATCCACAATGTGTCCAAAAGATGTTCTCTTCTCAGAGATTCAAAGAGTTTTCTTGTTATCTAAAAAATCTCTTCAATAAACCGGAAAATGTCTCTGGTGATCTGAAAAATGTCTCCAGTGACCCGAAAAATCCCCTGGATCCATAAGATAACCCTGGGAATCTAAGAGATCTTTGTTGAAATGAATTGTGCTTTCGGGGATTCCAAAGGTGTCTCCGGAGATCTTAAAAGTGTTTCTGAAGATCCGAAAACAGTCTCTGGGGATCCAAAAAGTATCTCCGGTGTTCTAAAAAGTATCCTCGGGGATCCAGAAAGTGCCTCCAGGGATCCGAAAAACGTCTAAGCGGATCTGAAAAGTGTCTTAAAAAATGTATAAGTTGTCCTCAGGAACTCCGGAAGTTTCCCCGGGGATCCAAAATGTGTCCAAAAGATGTTCTCAGAGATTCAAAGAGTTTTCATGTTATCTAAAAGATCTCTTCAGTAAACCGAAAAATGTCTCTAGTGATCCGAAAAATGTCTCCAGTGACCCGAAAAATCCCCAGGATCCATAAAATGTCTATGGTAATCTAAGAGGTCTTTGTTGAAATAAATTGTACTTTCGGGGATTCCAAAGATGTCTCCGGGGATCTTAAAAGTGTCTCTGGAGATCCGAAAACAGTCTCTGGGGATCCGAAAAGTATCACCGGTGTTCTAAAAAGTATCCTCGAGTATCCAGAAAGTGTCTCCAGGGATCCGAAAAACGTCTAAGGGAATCTAAAAAGTGTCTTCGAGAATGTAAACGTTGTCCTCGGGAACTCTGGAAGTTTCCCCGGGATCCACAATGTGTCCAAAAGATGTTCTCTTCTCAGAGATTCAAAGAGTTTTCTTGTTATCTAAAAAATCTCTTCAATAAACCGGAAAATGTCTCTGGTGATCTGAAAAATGTCACCAGTGACCCGAAAAATCCCCAGGATCCATATGATGTCTCTGGGAATCTAAGAGGTCTTTGTGGAAATGAATTGTGCTTTCGGGGATTCCAAAGGTGTCTCCGGGGATCTTAAAAGTGTGTCTGGAGATTTGAAAACAGTCTCTGGGGATCCAAAAAGTATCTCCGGTGTTTTAAAAAGTATCCCCGGGGATCCAGAAAGTGTCTCCAGGGATCCGAAAAACGTCTAAGGGGATCTGAAAAGTGTCTTCGAGAATGTAAACGTTGTCCTCGGGAACTCCAAAATGTGTTCAAAAGATGTCTGAAGTCTTTGGTGAAATAAATTGTGCCTCTAGGGATTCCAAAGATCTTTCCAGGGATCTTAAAAGTATCTCTGGAAGTCCGAAAACAGTCTCCGGAAATCCAAAAGGTGTCTCCGGGGATCTAAAAAGTGTCTCCAAGGAAATGTAAAAGTTATTTTAGGAATTCAAGACGTTCCCTGGGGATGCAAAATGTGGTCCCGGTGTTCTGGAAAAAGTCTCCACTGACCTGGAAAATCCCGGAGATCCATAAGATGACCATGGGAATCTTAAGAGGTATTTGGTAAAATGAATTGTGCCTCTAGGGATTCCAAAGATCTTTCCAGGGATCTTAAAAGTATCTCTGGAAGTCCGAAAACAGTCTCCGGGGATCTAAAAAGTGTCTCCAAGGAAATCTAAAAGTTATTCTGGGAATTCAAGACGTTCCCTGAGGGATGCAACGTTGATCTGGAAAAAGTCTCCACTGACCTGGAAAATCCCGAAGATCCATAAGATGACCACGGGAATCTAAGAGGTCTTTGGTGAAATGAATTGTGCCTCTAGGGATTCCAAAGATCTTTCCAGTGATCTTAAAAGTATCTCTGGAAGTCCGAAAACAGTCTCCGGGGATCAAAAAAGTGTCTCCGGGGATCTAAAAAGTGTCCCCAAGGAAGTGTAAAAGTTATTCTGTGAATTCAAGACGTTCCCTGGGGGATGCAAAATGTGGCTTCGGTGAATTGGAAAAAGTCTCCACTGACCTGGAAAATCCCGAAGATCCATAAGATGACCACGGGAATCTAAGAGGTCTTTGGTGAAATGAATTGTGCCTCTAGGGATTCCAAAGATCTTTCCAGGGATCTTAAAAGTATCTCTGGTAGTCCGAAAACAGTCTCCGGGGATCCAAAAAGTATCTCCGGTGATCCAAAAAGTATCTCCGGTGATCTAAAAAGTGTCTCCAAGGAAATGTAAAAGTTATTCTCGGGAATCAAGACGTTCCCTGAGGGATCCAAAATCCGTCCAAAGGATGTCTCCATGATCTGGAAAATAATTGCACTGACTCGGAAAATCCCGAAGATCCATAAGATGACCATGAGAATTTAAGATCCAAAAGTGTCCCCGGAGATATTAAAAGTGTTTCCAAAGATTCGAAAATGTATCCGGGGATCTAACAGGTGCTTCAGGCGATCTAAAAAGTGTCCCCGGAAATCTTAGAAGTGTCTCCAGGAATCCGAAAAATGTCGCAGGCGATCCAAACGTATCTCCGGGGATGTGAAAGGTGTCCCTAGGAATTAAAAAAGTTTCCCCGGCGATCTAAAAAGTGTCCAAAAGAGAATCCAGAAAGTTTTCTGACAATCTAAAAGTTATTTTCCGCGAACTGGAAAATGCCTGCGGTGATCTAGAAAATGTCTCTGGTGACCTAAAAAATCCCGAGGATCCATAAGATGACCATGGGAATCTGAGATCTATAAGTGTCCCCGGAGATATTAAAAGTGTCTCCAAAGATCCGAAAATGTCTCCGGGGATCTAACAGGTGCTTAAGGAAATCTAAAAGATGTCCCTGGGGATCTTAGAAACATCTCCAGGAATCCGAAAAATGTCTCCGTCGCTCCAAACATATCTCCGGGAATGTGAAAGGTGTCCAGGGATTAAAAAATTTTCTCCGGCAAAGTTTTCTGACAACCTAAAAGATCTGGAAAATCCCCAGGATCCATAAAATAACCATGGGAATCTGAGATCCAAAAGTGTCCCGAGAGATATTAAAAGCGTATCTGAAGATCCGAAAATGATTCCAGGGATCTGAAAAAACTTCAAGGGATCTACAAAGTATCCAAAAAGTATTTCCAGAGATCCGAAAAGTGTCCGGTGATCTAAAAAGTGTCTCTGGAGATATGAAATGTCTTCCTGGGGATTCCAGAAATTCTCCCGGGGATCTAAAGAGTGTCCTCGGGTATAAAAAAAAGTGTCTCCAGGGATCCGAAAAGTGTCTCCGGGGATCCTGAAAGTTTTCTAATAATATCTCCAATGACCTAGAAAAAACTAAGGATCCATAAAATTATCATTTTTCTTTTTTAGAAACCATAACTGTATTTTATTCGGAAAAAAAATTGACATACTTAGAACATAACAGAAACCGTCGTGACTTTTAAATACAATTAAATAAAAACGAATCTGTTTTAAATATAGCAACATTTGCCTTGCAAATTCCACATCAATTAACTTTAACACCTGTGTCAACACCAATTATCAATCAATGAAATCTTCGCAGTCCGAAATTAACACTATCTTCCATAAACGTCAAAGCGACCCATAATTTGCATTTGGGTCCACGCTGACGTCACCGCACAATTTATTTTTTACCCAATATCCAAAATACGACCCATAATGTTAGCAAATTAATATTCATGCCAGCACACCTGCAGCGTTTTCTTTGACGTCAAACCACCTCTAATAACGTTCTCCCAAATTTTTTTTTTCAATTTGTACTACATTACGTTAATAACAAGGATGTGAATTTGGTATTTGTATTAGAAAAAAATTGGCAAATTATGGCCAGCTGACGTCCGACTGGTAAGAAGTTTGACAAAAAACGTGATAACGCGCCCGTGGCCATCTTTAATTGTGGTGTTTGTGTCGCGGATTTGTGTTGAAAATGAATCGTAAACAAAAGTGGGTGACAAAAAATGGGGTTTAGGATTTTACTAGTTTTGATTTTTTAATAGTCGATTGGTACCGGAGTCTGAGATTTCAATCCTGCCTTGCATCCCGCAGCACAAACAGTCGCAGACTGACATGGAAGACAGTCTGAAAGTCTTCTTGTCGACGGAAGAGGAGTGAGATTGACTCAATCTGTGGTCCCTAAAACTGACTGGATTGTTGTATTGTTGTAGAATCGTGGAGAAGAAAAGCAAATGGAAGAAAACTTGCAACAACTTCAAGGTGGCCATTTTGGTGGGGATCTGGGTGGTGTGTAGTTGCGCCCTTATGACGAACACCGTCAAAGTGCAACGCATGCACCAAGTCAGTATTTCGGCAGGACAGACCAAAAGTTAGTTCTTTGAGTCTAAATTATTACTATGTATTTTTTTTTTTAATATCTATATACGTTGACAAACAATAGACATTTATCTACGTAAGTTTAGTGGTTGTAAAAAAATGCCAACTATCGATTAATGTCGCATTTAAATGAAGAATGTGCAGATTGACGTCACAGATAAAATTGCCATAACTGTTTGAGATGATTCGCCAGAGCAAATCGTGGATTGTTGACCCTTGGTGGAGGTTTTTGCTCCTTTGGATATGAATTGAATAATGGGTTATTATTCGGGGGAATTCGTGCTCATTGTTGATGATAATTGTTGGTAATTTAATGGGTTTAGTGACCTCCTAGTGTGTAAATCTTGAAAGAGTTTGAAAGAGGTTCGGAGTCCCCTAGTGTTTTATTTTTGACAAATTTTGAAAAATTATTCTGGCCCTTTTTGTTTTATTTTCGAAAGACTTTAAAGAAAGTGAGCGTCCCCTAGTATTTAACTTTTGAAGTAATCTTAAGAATCTCGGGGACTCTTGGTGTTATTTTTTAAAGATTTTAAAAGAAACCCGGAAGCTCCTAGTGTTATTTTTTAAAGAGTTTGAAAGAATCTCGAGGGTTCATAATGTTTTGTTTTTTGGTGAGCTTGAAATCATTTCGTCAGCTTCTAGTGTTTAAATCTCGAAAAAGTTTGAAAGAGTGTCGGAGTTCCCTAGTGTTTTATTTTTGACAAATTTTGAAAAATTATTCGAGGCCCTTTTTGTTTTATTTTTGAAAGACTTTAAAGAAAGTGAGCGTTCCCTGGTATTTAACTTTTGAAGTATTCTTAAGAATCTCGGGGACTCTTGGTGTTATTTTTTAAAGATTTTAAAAGAACCTCGGAAACTCCTAGTGTTATTTTTTAAAGAGTTTGAAAGAATCTCGAGGGTTCATAATGTCTTGTTTTTTGGTGAGCTTGAAATCATTTCATCAGTTTCTAGTGTTTAAATCTTGAAAAAGTTGAAAGAGTGTCGGAGTCTCCTAGGGTGTTTTATTTTTGACAAATTTTGAAAAATTATTCTGGGCCCTTTTTGTTTTATTTTTGAAAGACTTTAAACAAAATGAGTGTCCCCTGGTATTTAACTTTTGAAATAATCTTAAGTATCTCGGGGACTCTTGGTGTTATTTTTTAAAGATTTCAAAAGAATCTGGGAAACTCCTAGTGTTATTTTTTAAAGCGTTTGAAAGAATCTCGAGGGTTCATAATGTCTTGTTTTTTGGTGAGCTTGAAATCATTTCGTCAGCTTCTAGTGTTTAAATCTTGAAAAAGTTTGAAAGATTGTCGGAGTCCCCTAGTGTTTTATTTTTGACAAATTATAAAAAATTATTCGGGGCCCTTTTAGTTTCATTTTTGAAAGACTTTAAAGAAAGTGAGCGTCCTCTGGTATTTAACTTTTGAAGTAATCTTAAGAATCTCGGGGACTCTTGGTGTTATTTTTTAAAGATTTTAAAAGAACCTCGGAAGCTCGTAGTGTTATTTTTTAAAGAGTTTGAAAGAATCTCTAGGGTTCATAATGTCTTGTTTTTTGGTGAGTTTGAAATCATTTCGACAGCTTTTAGTGTTTAAATCTTGAAAAAGTTTGAAAGAGTGTCAGGGTCCCTGGTGTTTTATTTTTGACAACATTTGAAAAATTATCTTTTGTTTCATTTTCGAAAGAGTTTAAAAGAAGGTCAGAGTCCCTGGTGTTTTACTTTTCAAGTCATTTTAAGAATCTCGCGGACTTATGGTGTTATTTTTTAAAGATTTTAAAAGAAACTCAGGGACTTCTAATATTATTTTCTAAGAGTTTAAAAGAATCTCGGGGACTCCTAATGTCTTGTCTTTAGGTGAGCTTAAAATAATCTCGGAGTCCCCTAGTGTTTAAATCTTGAAATTGTTTGAAAGAGCATCAGGGACCACCGGTGTTTTATTTTTGACAACATTTGAAAAATTAGCTTTTGTTTCATTTTCGAAAGAGTTCAAAAGAAGGTCAGAGTCCCTGGTGTTTTACTTTTGAAGTCATTTTAAGAATCTTGGGGACTTATGGTGTTATTTTTTAAAGATTTTAAAAGAAACTCAGGGACTTCTAATATTATTTTCTAAGAGTTTAAAAGAATCTCGGCCTCTTTTATTAATTTTTGAAAGAGTTTAAAAGAATATCAGAGTCCCCTAGTGCTTTATATTTGAAATAAATTTAAGAATCTCTGGGATTCCGGGTGATATTTATTAAAGAGTTTAAAAAAATCTCGGGGACTCTTAGTGTTATAATTTGTAAAAGTTTAAAAGAATCTCGGGGACTCCTAAAGTCTTGTTTTTTGATGAGCTTAAAATAATTTCGTAGTCCCCTAGTGTTTAAATCTTGAAAGAGTTTGAAAGAGTGTCAGCGTCCCCCGGTGTTTTATTTTTGACAAAATTTGAAAAATTATTCGTGGCCTCTTTTGTTAATTTTTGAAACACTTTAAAAGAATGTCAGAGTCCCCTGGTGCTTTATATTTGAAATAAATTTAAGAATCTCTGGGATTCCGGGTGATATTTATTAAAGAGTTTAAAAGAATCTCGGGGACTCTTAGTGTTATAATTTGTAAGAGTTTAAAAGAATCTCGGGGACTCCTAAAGTCTTGTTTTTTGATGAGCTTAAAATAATTTCGTAGTTCCCTAGTGTTTAAATCTTGAAAGAGTTTGAAAGAGTGTCAGTGTCCCCCGGTGTTTTATTTTTGACAAAATTTGAAAAATAATTCGTGGCCCTTTTTGTTAATTTTTGAAAGAGTTTAAAAATATGTCAGAGTCACCTGGTGCTTTATATTTGAAATAAATTTAAGAATCTCTGGATTCCGGGTGATATTTATTAAAGAGTTTAAAAGAATCTCGGGGACTCTTAGTGTTATAATTTGTAAGAGTTTAAAAGAATTTCGGGGACTCCTAAAGTCTTGTTTTTTGATGAGCTTAAAATAGTTTCGTAGTCCCCTAATGTTTAAATCTTGAAAGAGTTTGAAAGAGTGTCAGCGTCCCCCGGTGTTTTATTTTTGACAAAATTTGAAAAATTATTCGTGGCCTTTTTTGTTAATTTTTGAAAGAGATTAAAAGAATGTCAGAGTCCCCTAGTGCTTTATATTTGAAGTAATTATAAGAATCTCTGAGACTCCGGGTGATGTTTATTAAAGAGTTTAAAAGAATCTCCGGGGCTCTTAGTGTTATTTTGTAAAAGTTTAATAGAATCTCGGGGATTCCTAAAGTTTTGTTTTTTGATGAGCTTAAAATAATTTCGTAGTCCACTAATGTTTAAATCTTGAAAGAGTTTGAAAAAGTATCAGCGTCCCCCGGTGTTTTATTCTTGACAAAATTTGAAAAATTATTGGTGGCCTTTTTTGTTAATTTTTGAAAGAGTTTAAAAGAATGTCAGAGTTGACTTGTGCTTTATATTTGAAGTAATTATAAGAATCTCTGAGACTCCGGGTGATGTTTATTAAAGAGTTTAAAAGAATCTTCGGGGATCTTAGTGTTATTTTGTAAAAGTTTAATAGAATCTCGGGGACTCCTAAAGTTTTGTTTTTTGATGAGCTTAAAATAATTTCGTAGTCCACTAATGTTTAAATCTTGAAAGAGTTTGAAAGAGTGTCAGTGTCTCCCGGTGTTTTATTTTTGACAAAATTTGAAAAATTATTCGTGGCCACTTTTGTTAATTTTTGAAAGAGTTTAAAAGAATGTCAGAGTCCCATGGTGCTTTATATTTGAAATAAATTTAAGAATCTCTGGGATTCCGGGTGTTATTTATTAAAGAGTTTAAAAGAATCTCGGGGACTCTTAGTTTTATAATTTGTAAGAGTTTAAAAGAATCTCGGGGACTCCTAGAGTCTTGTTTTTTGATGAGCTTAAAATAATTTCGTAGTCCCCTAGTGTTTAAATCTTGAAAGAGTTTGAAAGAGTGTCAGTGTCTCCCGGTGTTTTATTTTTGACAAAATTTGAAAAATTATTCGTGGCCACTTTTGTTAATTTTTGAAAGAGTTTAAAAGAATGTCAGAGTCCCATGGTGCTTTATATTTGAAATAAATTTAAGAATCTCTGGGATTCCGGGTGTTATTTATTAAAGAGTTTAAAAGAATCTCGGGGACTCTTAGTGTTATAATTTGTAAGAGTTTAAAAGAATCTCGGGGACTCCTAGAGTCTTGTTTTTTGATGAGCTTAAAATAATTTCGTAGTCCCCTAGTGTTTAAATCTTGAAAGAGTTTGAAAGAGTGTCAGCGTCCCCCGGTGTTTTATTTTTGACAAAATTTTAAAAATTATTCATGGCCTTTTTTGTTAATTTTTGAAAGAGTTTAAAAGAATGTCAGAGTCCAGTGGTGCTTTATATTTGAAATAATTTTAAGAATCTCTGAGACTCTGGGTGATGTTTATTAAAGAGTTTAAAAGAATCTCCGGGGCTCTTAGTGTTGTTTTGTAAAAGTTTAATAGAATCTCGGGGACTCCTAAAGTTTTGTTTTTTGAACAGCTTAAAATAATTTCGTAGTCCCCTAGTGTTTAAATCTTGAAAGAGTTTGAAAGAGTGTCAGCGTCCCCCGGTGTTTTATTTTTGACAAAATTTTAAAAATTATTCATGGCCTCTTTTGTTAATTTTTGAAAGAGTTTAAAAGAATGTCAGAGTCCCATGGTGCTTTATATTTGAAATAAATTTAAGAATCTCTGGGACTCCGGGTGATATTTATTAAAGAGTTTAAAAGAATCTCGGGGACTCTTAGTGTTATAATTTGTAAGAGTTTAAAAGAATCTCGGGGACTCCTAAAGTCTTGTTTTTTGATGAGCTTAAAATAATTTCGTAGTCCCCTAATGTTCAAATCTTGAAAGAGTTTGAAAGAGTGTCAGCGTCTCCCGGTGTTTTATTTTTGACAAAATTTGAAAAATTATTCGTGGCCTCTTTTATTAATTTTTGAAAGAGTTTAAAAGAATGTCAGAGTCCCATGGTGCTTTATATTTGAAATAAATTTAAGAATCTCTGGGACTCCGGGTGATATTTATTAAAGAGTTTAAAAGAATCTCGGGGACTCTTAGTGTTATAATTTGTAAGAGTTTAAAAGAATCTCGGGGACTCCTAAAGTCTTGTTTTTTGATGACCTTAAAATAATTTCGTAGTCCCCTAGTGTTTAAATCTTGAAAGAGTTTGAAAGGGTGTCACCGTCCCCTGGTGTTTTATTTTCGACAAAATTTGAAAAATAATTCGTGGCCTTTTTTGTTAATTTTTGAAAGAGTTTAAAAAAATGTCAGAGTCTCCTGGTGCTTTATATTTGAAATAAATTTAAGAATCTCTGGGACTCCGGGTGATATTTATTAAAGAGGTTAAAAGAATCTCGGGAACTCTTAGTGTTATAATTTGTAAGAGTTTAAAAGAATCTCGGGGACTCCTAAAGTCTTGTTTTTCGATGACCTTAAAATAATTTCGTAGTCCCCTAGTGTTTAAATCTTGAAAGAGTTTGAAAGGGTGTCACCGTCCCCCGGTGTTTTATTTTCGACAAAATTTGAAAAATAATTCGTGGCCTTTTTTGTTAATTTTTGAAAAAGTTTAAAAGAATGTCAGAGTCCCCTGGTGCTTTATATTTGAAATAAATTTAAGAATCTCTGGGAGTCCGTGTGATATTTATTAAAGAGTTTAAAAGAATCTCGGGGACTCTTAGTGTTATAATTTGTAAGAGTTTAAAAGAATCTCGGGGACTCCTAAAGTCTTGTTTTTTGATGAGCTTAAAATAATTTCGTAGTCCCCTAATGTTTAAATCTTGAAAGAGTTTGAAAGAGTGTCAGCGTCCCCCGGTGTTTTATTTTTGACAAAATTTGAAAAATTATTCGTGGCCTCTTTTGTTAATTTTTGAAAGAGTTTAAAAGAATGTCAGAGTCCCCTGGTGCTTTATATTTGAAATAAATTTAAGAATCTGTGGGATTCCGTGTGATATTTATTAAAGAGTTTAAGAGAATCTCGGGGACTCTTAGTGTTATAATTTGTAAGAGTTTAAAAGAATCTCGGGGACTCCTAAAGTCTTGTTTTTTGATGAGCTTAAAATAATTTCGTAGTCCCCTAATGTTTAAATCTTGAAAGAGTTTGAAAGAGTGTCAGTGTCTCCCGGTGTTTTATTTTTGACAAAATTTGAAAAATTATTCGTGGCCACTTTTGTTAATTTTTGAAAGAGTTTAAAAGAATGTCAGAGTCCCCTGGTGCTTTATATTTGAAATAGATTTAAGAATCTGTGGGACTCCGGGTGATATTTATTAGAGAGTTTAAAAGACTCTCGGGGACTCTTGGTGTTGTTTTTTAAAAGTTTACAAGATTGTTATTTTTCGCCAAATTTTGCCCCCAGGCTTCATAATCCTGGAAGAACCCATGAACAACAAAATCAGAGTAACCATCGAGGGCGCCCTGCTCCCCCCTTGCTACGAAAACATGTCCGTCAACCGCCTCAACGTCTGGATCCAGTTGGTAGTCCTGAAAGAAACCTCCAGAAAAATCAAACCGTCAAACATCTTCCTGACTCAAGTAAACCCCCCAAACCCTTCATCCCCATTCTCACCCTCTGATTCCAGAACGTGTCAGAAGTCTGGGAGGTGGCCCTAGTCCCCGAAAAACTCATCGACGTCGTCCCCGAAGTCACCCACAAGAAAACCTTCCACCTAAAATCGATCAAAATCGGCGACTTCAACACCAGTTTCCTGGAAGTGAGGTTAAGTACCAACATGAAAACGAACTTCCCCCTATCCGTGGCGTACAACCTCCAGCCCATCAACACCGACTCTGGTATCATCTACGCCGGCTTGGTGCTCATCGGGCTATACGTTTTGATCATCTTCGAGGTGAGTAGGACTGTGTGGTTGTTTTTTTAGTGGATTTTGTAGTTGGTACATCGGACGTTGGCGGCCATGCTTGCTAGCACCATGTCGGTGGCGATTTTGGCAGCCCTGAATGCACGGCCTACTATGGGTGAAATTATTTCTTGGATCGATGTGGAGACGTTGCTGTTGTTGTTCTCGATGATGACTTTGGTGACGATTTTTAGCGAGACGGGGATTTTTGATTATATGGCGGTGTTTGCGTATAAGGTAGGTTGGTAGGAGTGTTGACTGGTGAATTTGGTTTTTTTTTTTTTTGTAGATTACAGGGGGGAAGATCTGGCCTTTGATTAATATTCTGTGTGTGATAACTGCCATTTTTTCGTGTTTTTTGGATAATGTGACTACGACGCTTTTAACAACGCCGGTTACGATTAAGTATTTTTTTTGGGTTTGGGGTTTGGGGTTTGGGATTCTATTTTTGGGGTTTTAGGCTTTGTGAGGTGATGAAGCTGAATCCGGTTCCAGTGTTGATGTATATGCTGATTTTTGCCAATATTGGGGGTGCTATTACTCCGATTGGGGATCCCCCGAATGTGATTATTGCATCCAATCCGGATGTGATACGATCAGTAAGTTGGATTCTGTTCTATGTTAATCAGAATTATGGTTATCTACATCTAGAAATTCAAATATTTTCCAAATGTTAACAACCAGTAATAATTTAGTATTATAACTTTCCATAGATTTGGAAAATTTGAATTCTTTTTTGATTTTTCAGCATTTGAATTTCTAGATTTTCTAGAATTGGAGATTCACTCGGGAAGTAATTATTGTTAGCTGAATTTATTTACAGACTCTTAAAGCGTCTAAAACTCCTTTATATATTTTTGAAAATTTATACTGTTTAGCTTTTCTAGATGTAGATTTTACGAAAGTTGGAATCTTTTGGGACATTTATTTAATTTAGGAAGTTTAAGAATTTTTAATTTTGTAGATGTTTTTCAAAATTATGCTTGTTTTAAATTTTTGAAGTATGTAAATATTAAAAGTAAAAAAATAATGCAGAAAATGCAGAAAATAATAATACAGAAAATTGAGAAAATTCATAAAATTCACAACCTTCAGATAATTCAGAAAATCCATAAAATTCAGACGATTCAGAAAATTCAGAAATTTCAAAAATTGGGATAATTAAAAAAATTCAGAGAGTTCAGACAGTTTAGAAAGTTCAGACGAGTTAGTAGAAAGTTCGGAGAGTACAGAATACAGAAAATTAAAAAAAATCAAACAATGCAAAATAATACAAAAAAAAAAAACAGAATAATACAAAGAATACAGAAAATAGAGAAAATACAGAGAACGTAGAGATTACAGAAAATATAGAGAGATGAAAAAATAGAAAAAGTACAGAAACATTTGAAAACGACATAATATGGAAAAATTAAAATAATAACACAGAAAATGCAGAAAATAAAACAGAAAATTAAGTAAATTTATAAAATTCAAGAAATTTAAAAAATTTAAAAAATTCAGAAAATTCGGAAAATTCAGGGAATTAGGAAAGTTCAGAGTTCAGACAAGTCAGAAATTTCATACAATTGATGAAATTAATGAAATTCGTGAAATTCACAAAATTCACAAAATTCATGACATCATAAAAATGAATAAAATTAATAAAATTCGAGAAATTACTAAAATTTCATGAAATTCATGAAATTCTTGAAAATTAATAAAATTAATAAAATTCGGAAAATCGCAAAATTAGGAAAAATGTGAAAATTCGGAAGATTCGGAAAATTCATAAAATTAAAAAAAATCACGGAAATCACGAAATCTACCAAATTTAAGAAATTCACAAAATTCATGAAAACTCAAAATCAATAAAATTCGGAAAATTGAGAAAATTGAGAAAATTTAGAAAATTCAGCTAAAATATAGAAAATTCAGAAGATTCATAAAATTCGGAAAATCCGGGAACGTCATACTATATGGAAATATTAAAAAAATAATGCAGAAAATGTAGACAATAATACAGGAAATGAAGAAAATTTATATAATTCAGTAAAATTTAAAAATTCAAAAATCTGAAAAAATTCAGCAAATTCAGAAAATTCGGAGATTCGGAGAATTCGGAAATTCGAAAAATTCGAATAATTCAGAATGTTCGGAAAGTTCAGAGTTCAGACAGTTTAGACAGTTTACACAAGTCAGAAAGTCCATAAAACTAATAAAATTCGTGAAATTTACAAAATTCACAAAATTCATGACATCTAAAAAAATTAATAAAATTAATAAAATTCGGAAAATCGGAAAATTCAGAAAATTCGAAAAATGGGAAATTCGGAAAATTCGGTAAATTCATAAAATTCACAATATTCATAAAATTCACGAAAATCTCGAAATTTATGGAATTTAAGGAATTCACGAACTTCACAAAATTTATAACATTCATAAAATTAATAAAATTTTGAAAATTCGGAAAATTTAGAAAATTGACAAAATTCACAAAATTCATGACATCCATTAAAATTAATAAAATCCATAAATTCGGATAATTAATAAAGTTAATGAAATTCATAAAATTAATAAAATTCAGAAAACTCGGACAATTCATAAAATTCATGAAAATCACGAAAATCACGAAATTTACGAAATTCACGAATTCACGAATTTAATGAAAATTCATAAAATTAATAAAATTCAGAAAATCGACAAAATTTTGAAATTCATGAAATTCTTGAAAATTAATAAAATCAATAAAATTCGGAAAATCGGAAAATTCGGAAAATTCGCAAAATTAGGAAAAATGGGAAAATTCGGAAGATTCGGAAAATTCATAAAATTTAAAAAATTCACGGAAATCACGAAATTTACCAAATTTAAGAATTTCACCAAATTCATGAAAACTCAAAATCAATGAAATTCGGAAAATTGAGAAAATCTAGAAAATTCAGAAAATTCATAAAATTCGGAAAATTCGGGAACGACATAATATGGAAACATTAAAAAATAATGCAGAAAATGTAGACAATAATACAGGAAATGAAGAAAATTTATATAATTCAGTAAAATTAAAAAATTCAAAAATCTGAAAAAATTCAGAAAATTCGGAGATTCGAAGAATTCGGAAATTCGAAAAATTCGAATAATTCAGAAAGTTTGGAAAGTTCAGACAAGTCAGAAAGTCCATGAAATTCATAAAATTCATTAAATTAATGAAATTCGTGAAATTCACAAAATTCACAAAATTCATGACATCCAAAAAAATTAATAAAATTAATAAAATTCGGAAAATCGGAAAATTCAGAAAATTCGAAAAAAAGGAAAATTTGGAAAATTCATAAAATTCACAGTATTCATAAAATTCACGAAAATCTCGAAATTTATGAAATTTAAGGAATTCACGAACTTCACAAAATTCATAAAATTCGGAAAATTTAGAAAATTGACAAAATTGACAAAATTCACAAAATTCATGACATAAAATCCATAAAAATTAATAAAATTCATAAAATTCGGATAATTAATAAAGTTAATGAAATTCATAAAATTAATAAAATTCATAAAATTAATAAAATTCGGAAAACTCGGACAATTCACAAAATTAAAAAAATTCATAAAATTTACGAAAATCACGAAATTTACGAAATTTACGAAATTCACAAAATTAACAAAATTCACGAAATTAATGAAAATTTATAAAATTAATAAAATTCATTAAATTTATGAAATTTGTGAAATTCACAAAATTCACAAAATTCATGACATCCAAAAAAATTAATAAAATCAATAAAATTCGGAAAGTCGGAAAATTCAGAAAATTCGGAAAATTCATAAAATTCACAATATTCATAAAATTCATGACATCCATAAAAATTAATAAAATTCATAAAATTCGGATAATTAATAGAGTTAATGAAATTCATAAAATTGATAAAATTCGTCAAATTCATGAAAATTCATAAAATTAATAAAATTCAGAAAACTCGGACAATTCATAAAAATCAAAAAATTCATAAAATTCACGAAAATCACGAAATTTACGAAATTCACGAAATTCACGAAATTAATGAAAATTTATAAAATTAATAAAATTCATTAAGTTAATGAAATACGTGAAATTCACAAAATTTACAAAATTCATGACATCCAAAAAAAATAATAAAATTAGTAAAATTCGGAAAGTCGGAAAATTCAGAAAATTCGGAAAATTGGAAAATTCGGTAAATTCATAAAATTCCGAAAATTCATAAAATTCATAATATTCATAAAATTCACAAAAATCTCGAAATTTATGAAATTTAAGGAATTCACAAAATTCACAAAAATTCACGAAATTCATAAAAATTCATAAAATTAATAAAATTCATAAGATTCATAAAAATTCATAAAATTCGTAACATTCATAACATTAATAAAATTCATTAAATTAATGAAATTGACAAATTCATGACCTCCATAAAAATTGATAAAATTCATAAAATTCGGATAATTAACAAAATTAATGAAAATTCATAAAATTAATAAAATACAGTAAAATTTGGAAAATTCAGAAAATTGACAAAATTTACAAATTTCAACAAAAATTCAGAAAATTCAGAAAATTCTGCAAAAATTCATAAACGTAATAAAGTTCATAAAATTAATAAAATTCATAACATTCATAAAATTCATAATATTCATAAAATTCTCGAATTTTCCGAGATTCCTAAAAATTCATGAAATTTGGAAAATTCGGCAAATTTAGAAACTTTAAAATATTCAGGAAATTCAGGAAGCAGATATTAAAAAAACAGAAAATACAAAAATTTGGAAAATTCAAAAAATCAAACAACGTAAAATAATACAAAAAAGAACAGAACAATACAAAGCATAGAGAAAATACAGAGAACCCAGAAAATACAGAAAATACAAGCAACAGAAAATATAGAAAGAGAAAAAAATAAAAAAAGAAAGGAAAAGAAAATAGAAAAAGAAAATGTAGAGACTTTAGAAAATAACACAGAATAGGCAGAAAAAATAAAAAAATACAGAAATTACAGGCAAAAATACAGAAACTTCGAAAATTTAGAAAATCCATACAATGTAGGAAATACAGAAAGTACAAAACAAGAAATACAAATAACGCAGAGAATGCAGACAATATGGAGAACAAAAAAAATCATACATAAAGTACAGAGAATAATACACATAATACAGAGAATAGCACAAAGAATAGAGAAAATACAAAGAACACAGGAATACAGAGAAAACAAATATTACAGAAAATATGAGAATGCAGAAAATACAGAAAAAACGTAAAAATGGAGAGCATGCAAAGGGTCAGAAAATAATACAGAAATTACATAGAAGAATACACAGAATAAAGATAATATGGAGAATAGAGAAAATATAAAAAAACAGAATATATAGTGAATGCAGAGAAAACAGAAAAAATAGAAAATACAGAAATTAAAAGAAACATAGGGAATACAAAAATACAGGAAGTACAGAAACTACAGAAAAAAAATGCAGAGAATACAAAGGAAACAAATAAAACGAAGAATATAGAGAGTACATAAAACAGAGACAATACGGAAAATACGAGAAATACTGGAAACACAAAATATGCAGGAAATACAAAACATAAAAAGAATAAGGCAAATATATAAATTATAATATAAAATACGAAGTAAACAGAATACAGAGAATATAGACAACACAGAGAACATTGAAAATACAGCAATACAGAGAGAACAGAGAAAATAGAGGAAGCGCAGGAAATACAGAAAAAGGGAAAACGCAAAAAGTGTCCGGAATTCTTAATTTAAATTAAATTTAAAAAAAACGCTCATTTTAAATTTTCAAATTAATAGATAATTAATTTGAAAATATTTGAAATTACAGGTTACAGAAAAATTCTGCATCTGTGTATTTCATTTTTGGAAATTCTAGATTTTCTAGAAACCGTACAAAAAATCAGAGCCTGTTTATCCTCCTTAGGGCATCAATTTCGGCACCTTCACCCTCCACATGGGCATCGGCGCCACCCTATCCATCATCGTAGTCTACGCCCAGCTGCGCTACACCCACCGGAACCTCCGCATCTTCAAGTACGCCGAACCGACCCAAGTCCAAGGTAAATATTCTCCATTCTCACTACCCCCAACAACCCCAACGACCCTTTCTCCCAGAACTGCGCCGCGAAATCGCCGTCTGGAAGCGAGCAGCGGCATCTTTAAGCAGCTACAGCAAGGACGAAGAGACCGTCAAGGAGTCCCTCCTCAGAAGGAGCCTCACGCTTCTAGGAAAACTCAAACTAACCGCCCACAACACCAGCATGACGGAGGAGAACTACAACACGAACCTGCAAGATCTGCAGCGACAGGTACATAGATTGAAAATTTTCTAGAACTAGATTTAAAAAAAAATGTTTTAGTACCCAATCAGAAACAAAGTCTTGTTGATCAAGTCCGGAGTGACGCTGTTTTTGGTGATTTGTGTCTTTTTCTTGCACTCGATTCCGGCTCTGAGTGTGTACTTCGATGGCGGGTTTGGCGATTTTTATTGAAAGTGTTTTTCTAGGTATTTTGGGGTTAGGGTGGACTGCTCTCTTGGGGGCTTTGTTGTTGCTGCTTTTGTACGACAAGGAGGACATTGAGGGGATTTTGGGGCGCGTGGAGTGGTCGACCCTCCTGTTTTTTGCGTCACTATTTATTCTGATGGAGGTAGGTAAAACTAAAAAAAAAAAAAAACAAACTGGACGAAACGAAATATTTTAACACAAAGTGACATGTGCTAACTTGCTAATAAACATTATATTATTGTTAATATTCATTATTAATTGTTACTATAATTTACATAAAGTGTTTATCATAACTGAAAGTTCAAGTTCAGCTGTACTTGTTTTGTGCTATATTTAACTTCGCGACAAGAATATTCCATTAATTGCGCTATTATTCATTGTCACAATTCGATATTGTAATTTTTTGGGATTATTTATTATTTTGTTTGATTGAGATTTTTCGGCCTTGTTTTTATCTTGCTTTGTTTTAATTTTTTCGGGTTTTTATTTTCAGGCTCTTTCCCGTCTGGGTCTTATAGACTGGGTTGGGAAACAAACCCAAGCTGTTATTATGTCAGTGGATCAGGAGTCCCGTTTAACTGTAGCCATAATCCTTATTTTGTGGGTGTCGGGGTTCGCTTCGGCCTTTGTTGATAATCTTCCTCTGACTACCATGATGATAAGGATTGCCACGAATTTGGCTGATAACAGAGAGCTCAATCTACCTCTGCAGCCGCTGATTTGGGCCTTGTCTTTTGGAGCGTGTCTTGGAGGTACGTTTCTACACACAATTAAGAATCCATCGAGGGATTTGTTGCCCGAGTCTGTTGGTAGTACTTTTTAAATAAAAATGTGCACTTTTCTTGCGTTTATGTTGGCATAACTGGAGTAATTGTGTGACAGATATGCCAGTCGTGACATGCGATAAATTTAGGTTATGTTTTGGTTACATTTTGCAAATTAAAAATGGCAACAATCTGTCAATCTTGACAGCTGACAAACGGAAAACATCATGATACCAATTTCAACTAAAATTCCAGGATTGCCAACACTCAGTCATTTCTGATCACGCGTTAGTATTTTTGTTAAATTATAATATTATAATGCAATATTTTTTAAATGAAAGAATTTCATAAAAAATTTTGTTTGTATGTGGTTCCAAAAGCCTGATTTACACAGAAGGAATCCCCGTTTATGAAATTTTCTAGGGATTTTTTTTCGTGCTAGTGTCTATGACAGACAATGCAGAAAATACAGAACATACGGAGCATACAGAACATACAGAACATAAAGGATACAGAAAACATATAGAATATACAGAAAAACAAAATACACTGAAAATAAAAAAATCCTAGTACTTGCTAGGGTAAGACCGATTTTCGTAAATGAAGGTATCTCATTAGACAAAATCAGTCTTATCTTAGCAGCTACTAGCCCCGCCCACCCACCCTATCTTTGCTTAGAAGATCAAGAAGACTAGAAAATTTAGAAAATACAAGAAATACAGAAAATACAAAAAATGCAAGAAATATAGAAAAGAAAAAAAAATCAGTGAATACAAGGGATACATAGAATACAAAGAATTCAGAGAACACAGAAAATACGGAGAATACAGAAAACATAGCAAATAGAGAGTATGCAGAAAACTATGCTAAAAAATGCAGAAAATAATACAGAATATTCAGAATATACAAAAATATGGAGAAAAATAGAATATATAGTACATATAGAAAGTACAGAGAATGCAGAGAATACAAAGAATACAGAAAATAATACAGAATATACAGAATATGCGGGGAGAGAAAATAATACAGAAAATATACAGTATAGAGGAAAAGCAGAATATACAGGATATGCAGAAAATACGGAGGATAAATACTCTGATTTAGGGATTCAGAGGAATCAAAAGATTAGAAAAATTCAGAAAATTTAGAAAATAGAAAAATACAGAGGTTTCAGAGAATAAAAAAATGTAGAATATATAGAGAAAAGTAAAATATATCGTTTTTAAAGAATATACAAACAATACATAAATGCAGAATATATATAATATACACATTATAATACAGAGAATATATTGAATACAGAGAGCAGAGAAAACACTGAATATACAAAGAATCCAGAAGATACAGAAAATGCAGAAAATACGAAAAATACAGAAATTACGAAAAACACAGATAACATAGAAAGTACAGATTATAGGATTATACAGAAAAATGTGCAGAATGTGCGGAAAATACAGAATATGCAGACTTTGCAGAAAAGAATACAGAAGATGAAAAAATCAGAAAATATAGAAAATGCACAGAATTTATTAAATACAGAATCGAGGGAATACAGAGAATCAAAAGAATGGAAAAAATACAAAAAATTCAGAAAGTTGCAAAATTCATAAAATTCGCAAAATTCACGAAATTTAGGAAAATTCACAAAACCACAAGATTCACAATATTCACTACAGAAAATTCAGGAAATTCAGAAAATATGGAAATAACAGAAAATACAGAGAATAGGAGGAATATAGACTACAGACTAGAGAATACAGAAAATAAAATAAATAATACGGAAAATATACAAAATATAGAGAAAAATAGAATTTATTGTTTATTTGTTTATTCTGTTTATCTTAATACAAGGAATGCAGACAATATAAAAAAATTTATTAAAATCACAAAATACATAAAATTCACAAAATTCGTAAAATTTACAAATATCACAAGTCACAGAATGCACGAAATTCGCAATATTTATAAAATTCACAAAAGTCACGACACAGAAAATTGACAAAATTCACAAAATTCGCAAAACTCACAAGTTACAACATTCACAAAATTTACAAAATTCAAAAAATTCGCAAAATTTATAAAATTTACAAAAATCACACAAATCAAAAAAAATCACAGCATTCACGAAATTTGCAAAATTTATAAAATTCACGAAACTCACAAAATTCACAAAATTTACAAAATTTACAAAATTCCCAAATTCGCGAAATTCACACAATTCACGAAATTCGCAAAATTCACAGAATTCACAGAATTTCCAACATGCACAAAATTCACAAAATTCACAGGATTTACAGAATTCACAGGATTTACAGAATTCACAAAAATTGCAAAATTCACAAAATTCGCAAAAATTGATTCACAAAATTTACAAAATTCACAGAATTTAATTTACAGCATGCAGAAAAATCATAAAATTCAAAAAATTCACAACATTAATAAAATTCGTAGAATTAGTAAAATTCATAAAATTCAAAAAATTCACAAAATTTATAAAATTTACAAAATTCGCACGATTCACGAAATTCACACAATTCACGAAATTCACGAAATTCGTAAAATTGATTCACAAAATTTACAATATTCATAGAATTTAATTTACAGCATTCATAAAATTCATAAAATTTAGAAAATTCTTACAATTTAAAAAATTCACAAAATTTATAAAATTTACAAAAATCATACAAATCACAAAATTTACAAAAATCACATTCAAATTCACAGAATTCACGAAGTTTGCAAAATTTATAAACTTGACAAAACTCAAAATTCACAAAATTTACAAAATTCGCAAAATTCACACAATTTTCAAAATTCACAAAAATTCACAAAATTCATAAAATTTACAAAAATCACACGAATCAAAAAATCACAGAATTCACGAAATTTGCAACATTTATAAAATTTACAAAACTCACAAAATTCACAAAATTCACAAAGTTCACAAAATTTACAAAATTTACAAAGTTCCCCAATTCGCGAAATTCGCACAATTCACAAAATTTACACGATTCACGAAATTCGCAAAATTCACAGAATTCACAGAATTTCCAGCATGCACAAAATTCACAGGATTTACGGAATTCGCAAAATTTACAAATTCTATAAAATTTACAAAGTTCCCCAATTCTCGAAATTCACACAATTCACGATATTTGCAAAATTCACAGAATTCCCAGAATTTTCAGCATGCACAAAATTCACAAAATTTATGATTTACAGAATTCACAAAATTTACAAAATTCAGAGAATTTAATTTACAGCATTCATAAAATTCACAAAATTCAAAAAATTCATAAAATTAATATAATTCATAAAATTCATAGAATTCGTAAAATTTATAAAATTCAAAAACTTCACAAAATTTATAAAATTTACAAAAATTACACAAATCACAAAATTCGCAAAATTTAAAAAAATTCACAAAATTCCCGAAATTCACACAATTCACGAAATTCACAGAATTTCCAACATACACAAAATTCACAAAATTCATAGGATTTACAGAATTCACAAAATTCGCAAAATTGATTCACAAAATTTACAAAATTCGCAGAATTTAATTTACGGCATTCATTAAATTCATAAAATTCAAAAACTTCATAAAATTCAAAAAAGTCAGAAAATTCAGAAAATTCGTAAAATTCGTAAAACTCACGATTCGCAAAATACACAATTTACAAAATTCACACAATTTACAAAATTAAAAAGTCACAAAATTCATGAAATTTACAAAAATCACATAAATCACAAAATCCACAGAACTCACGAAATTTGCAAAATTTATAAAATTCACGAAATTCGCGAAATTCACACAATTCGCTCAAAATTCACAGAATTCACACAATTTCCAACATGCACAAAATTCACAAAATTCAAAGGATTTACAGAATTCACAAAATTTACAAAATTTACAAAATTCGCACATTCACGAAATTACGCAATTCACGAAATTCACGAAATTCACGAAATTCACAGAATGTTCAACATACACAAAATTTACAAAATTTACAGGATTTACAGAATTCAGAAAATTCGCAAAATTGATTCACCAAATTTACAAAATTCGCAGAATCTAATTTACGATATTCATTAAATTCAAATAATTCAAAAGGTTCATAAAATTCAAAAAATTCATAAAATTCGTAAAATTCTAAAATCCAAAAAATTCACAAAATTCATAAAATTTGCAGAAATCACACAAATCAAAATACACAAAATTCACGAAATTTGCAAAATTTATAAAATTGACAAAACTCACAAAAATCACAAAATTTACAAAATTCACACAATTCACAGAATTTCCAGCAAACACAAAATTCACAGGATTTACAGAATTCAGAAAATTTATATGATATACAGAATTCAATTTACGGCATTCATAAAATTCGTTAAATTCGTAAAATTGATAAAATTCGTAAAAATCGTAAAATTCATAAAATTCATAAAATTCACGAAAATCACGAAAATCACGAAAATCACGAATTTACGAAATTCACACAATTCACAGAATTCACAGAATTTCCAGCATACACAAAATTCACTGGATTTACAGAATTCACAAAATTTACAGAATTTAATTTACAGCATTTATAAAATTCATAAAATTCGTAAAATTCGTAAAAATCGTAAAATTCGTAAAATTCGTAAAATCCGTAAAATTTACAAAATTCACAAAATTTGCACAATTCAAAAAATGCAGAAAATAAGTAGAAACTACAGAATATAAACTACAGAAAAACAAAATACAGAAAGCTCTGAAATATAGAACATACAAGAGTTCAGAAAATACAGAGATTGCAAGGTATACAGAGAATAGAGAGTGTACAGACTAAAGAGAGCAATACAGAAAAAACGTGAAATACGGAAAATATAGGAACTGCAGAAAATGCACAAAATATAGAATATATACACAAAAATAAAATATACAATTTTTAAAGAATATGCAAACAAGGCAATATATATAGAATATAACACATTATAATACAGAGAATACATTGTATATAGAGAAAACACCGAATATAGTACAGAGAATCCAGAAAATAAAACAAAAAATATCGCAGAAAATACAGAAAATGCAGAAATTACAGAAAACACAGGAAATGTGGAAAGTACAGATATACAGAAGAATGTGTAAAATGTGCAGAATATACAGAAAATACAGAGACTAGGGGGAATATAGAGATTACACAAAATATAGAAAAAATTGAATTTATTATTTATTTATTCTGTTTATCTTAATACAAAGAATGCAGAAAATACAAAAATTCATTAAAATGGCAAAATTTTGAAAATTTTGAAAATTCACAAAATTTACAAATTCACAAAATTTTATGAAATCCACGAAATTTATAAAATTCACAAAGTTCGCAAAATTTATTCACAAAACTCATAAGATTCGGAAAATTCGGAATATTCTGTAAATTCGAAAAATTCAGAAATAATACAGACAATAATACAGAAAATACAGAATATACACACTTTGCGGAAAAGAATACAGTAAATAAAAAAAATCCCAATATAAAGAAAGTGCACAGAATTCAGAAAATACAGAGAATCGGGGGAAAATTCACGAAATTTACGAAATTCACAAAACTCGCAAGATTCACAAGCTTCACTAGATTCACAAAATTCGTATAAAAATATATAGAAAAATCACAAAACATGGAAAATAATACAAGAAACACAGAAAATACAACATATGTAGAAAAAATAGACAATACAGAATATACAAAAAATACAGAAACGTACAGAAAATAGCGCAAAAATAAAAACCCTCATTTACACAGCCCAAAACTTTCGGTTATCCAATCCATTTAGAGACTTCGTTCGCTATTAGTATCTGTGACACGTGTCTAAAAAAACAACCACAAAATCGCAAGTAATCATTTTTAATTCACTCAAAAAAACTATAACGTAATACTTTTTAATTAAGCAACTTAACACAAACTTCAGTTGGCATCTCCGAAAACCTGCTTTACACACACAACGAATTCCTCCTCATTAAACCTTCAAGGAAATAACAATAAAATCTAAACTACCTGCACTCGTGAATTATTATCATCCTAAACAACACCAGAAACCAGATTCACACGACAACATTTTCACTGCCATTTTCACTGTTTCAGGAAACGGCAGCCTGTTCGGCTCTTCGTCCAACATCGTCTGCGCGGGAGTAGCCGAACAACACGGATACAGATTCACCTTTTTGGAATTCACCAAGTACGTATTCTGCGTTCTGCGTATTTTCATACGAGTGTACATTTTTTTCAGGGTTGGCCTTCCTGTAATGGTGACCAGCATGGCTGTCATTACCGTGTACTTAATAGTGTGTCACGTGGTCTTCCACTGGCACTAAACACCATCATTATCTAACCGTTTTTAATGGATTTTGTGCAAATAGATAATTTTATTTTTATCGCCGTGGAATTTTGTGCGACTTCCTTCGGTTTTTCTCGAGCGTTGCGTAGACGCAATAAACCGTTCATTATTGTCACAATTTATGGCGTTTTATTGCGGAATAGCAGCGTTAATTTGTTTACTGGTGGCAATTGTGGCTATTACGCCTCTGGAAGCTCAGCAAAGAAATAAATCGTCGTTATGTCTAAATCACGTCCTCCAATATTGACACTCCATTTCGCGTATTTCCACTTATTCGAAAAACACCATTTGAGCTAAATTTAGACGGAATTGCACGAGAAATTCACACTTTTCTTCAAACAGAGATAAAAGTTTACGAGCGGCGGGTTAACCTATTCCATTTCCAAGTTTTTAGAAAAACGCGAGACCCTGACGAGCTGCGGATTTCTTCAAATATTTGGATTTCGCAACCGACTGCGTCGGATGCATTGTTTAAGGGGGGGTTAATTATGGAAAAAAGAGACGGAAGATGGACGAAAAACCCACATTACGACACTTGTTACCACTGGGTGATTGATAATAATGAGATTTGATAACAAGCTCTAGTTTCTAGATTTCTTTCTTAATGTCCTTGTTTTTGTCGAAAATGACCTGATGCATTTTTTAGCCTTCATTTTAGATAGTTGTTGAAATGAAAAAATTGTGCGTCTGATTGGGGATCAACATGTTCTCGAAAATGTATGTATGTGGAACCAGTTTGCCCAGCATTGAAATCTCTGGCTTAAATTAGCGAGTTTTATAGGGGATAATGTACTCAGGAGTCCGCTAAAGTAAAATTTATGGTCAACACGGTAAACAGTATCTGACTTTTAGATCATTGCGTAAAATTTAATAATGTTGATAAAGTTGTTTAAAAATTGTTAAGTCTGCTTGGTATGCAATTCCCTCGCATTCCAGAAGCCTGTTTATTTGATTGTGATATCATTGTCGATACATTTTAATAAGGTTTCTGGAGCTTGAAATCTACAAGAAAATGTATAAAATTGTTGATTACAAAAATATAGCGTGTTTCGAAAAAATCGATACGAAATGCGAATTTTTGAAAATTTGTTGTAGTTATCAAAGAAACGAGGCCCGAAGTGAATTCTAAAGCTCGAAATCTACAAGAAAAGGTATTTATTTAGTTTCGAAAATGTCAAAAATTGGCCGAAAAAATTTCACTTTTGTAAAAGTTGTCTAAAAATCCTAAAAAAAATTTGAGATGTAGATCTCGACAAAGTGATTTCAAAAATATAACGCATTTATGGTAAACAAGCAATATATTAGAAATATTCGGTTTGAACCACTAGCCCCGCCCACCCACCCTCTGTTTATTTAGAGGATTTCTCATTTGCAAAATTCAGTCTTAACAAATACTAGCCCCGCCCACCCACCCTAGTATTTGATAAGACAAGACTGATTTGGCACATCACATAGTCTCAAATAAAATAGAGGGCGGGTGGGTGGGGCTAGTATTTGATAAGACAAGACTGATTTGGCAAATCACTAGTAGAAGGTATGTCATTTGCCAAAATGAATCTAATCTTACCAAATACTAAACCCCTATTCAGTTAAGTTTCGAAAATGTCAAAAATTCGCCGAAATTTGAAGAAGGGGGGACCATTGGAAAAATTACACTTTTAAAACGTCATCTGAAAATTCTGAAAAAATTCAGGGACGTAGATCTCAACATGCTGATTCCAAAAATATAGGGTGTTGATGGTCACGGAACAACATTTTCGAAAGAATCGCTGCGAAATGCGAATTTTTGAGGATTTCTAAAAATCGCGATATTTCAACGGTCGATTCCGGAAAAACGGTTGCAGTTATCAAAAAAACGAGACCGGAACTGAGTTCTAGACCTCGAAATCCACAAGAAAATGTATCCAGTTAAGTTTCGAAAATGTCAAAAATTGGTCGAAATTTGAAGAAGGGGGGACCATTGGAAAAATTTCACTTTTAAAAAAGTCATCTAAAAATTCTGAAAAAATTCAGGGACGTAAATCTCGACTTGCTGATTACAAAAATATAGGGTGTTGATGGTCACGGAGCAACATTTTCGAAAGAATCGCTCCGAAATGCGAATTTTTGAAGATTTCTAAAAATCTCGATAATTCGACGCTCGATTCAGGAAAAACGGTTGCAGTTATCAAAAAAACGAGACCGGAACTGAGTTCTAGACCTCGAAATCCACAAGAAAATGTATTCAGTTAAGTTTCGAAAATGTCAAAAATTGGCCGAAATTTGAAGAAGGGGGAACCATTGGAAAAATTTCACTTTTAAAAAAATCATCTAAAAATTCTGAAAAAAGCCAGGGACGTAAATCTCAACATGCTGATTCCAAAAATATAGGGTGTTGATGGTCACGGAGCAACATTTTCGAAAGAATCTCTACGAAATGCGAATTTTTGAAGATTTCTAAAAATCGCGATATTTCGACGCTCGATTCCGGAAAAACGGTTGCATTTATCAAAGAAACGAGACCGTAACTGAGTTCTGGAGCTCTAAATCCACAAGAAAATGTATTCAGTTAAGTTTCGAAAATGTCAAAAATTGGCCGAAATTTGAAGAAGGGGGAACCATTGGAAAAATTTCACTTTTAAAAAAATCATCTAAAAATTCTGAAAAAAGCCAGGGACGTAAATCTCAACATGCTGATTCCAAAAATATAGGGTGTTGATGGTCACGGAGCAACATTTTCGAAAGAATCTCTGCGAAATGCGAATTTTTGAAGATTTCTAATAATCGCGATATTTCGACGCTCGATTCCGGAAAAACGGTTGCATTTATCAAAGAAACGAGACCGTAACTGAGTTCTGGAGCTCTAAATCCACAAGAAAATGTATTCAGTTAAGTTTCGAAAATGTCAAAAATTGGCCGAAATTTGAAGAAGGGGGAACCATTGGAAAAATTTCACTTTTAAAAAAATCATCTAAAAATTCTGAAAAAAGCCAGGGACGTAGATCTCAACATGCTGATTCCAAAAATATAGGGTGTTGATGGTCACGGAGCAACATTTTCGAAAGAATCGCTACGAAATGCGAATTTTTGAAGATTTCTAAAAATCGCGATATTTCAGCGGTCGATTCCGGAAAAACGGTTGCAGTTATCAAAAAAACGAGACCGGAACTGAGTTCTAGACCTCGAAATCCACAAGAAAATGTATCCAGTTAAGTTTCGAAAATGTCAAAAATTGGCCGAAATTTGAAGAAGGGGGGACCATTGGAAAAATTTCACTTTTAAAAAAGTCATCTAAAAATTCTGAAAAAATTCAGGGACGTAAATCTCGACGTGCTGATTCCAAAAATATAGGGTGTTGATGGTCACGGAGCAACATTTTCGAAAGAATCTCTACGAAATGCGAATTTTTGAAGATTTCTAAAAATCGCGATATTTCGACGCTCGATTCCGGAAAAACGGTTGCATTTATCAAAGAAACGAGACCGTAACTGAGTTCTGGAGCTCGAAATCCACAAGAAAATGTATTCAGTTAAGTTTCGAAAATGTCAAAAATTGGCCGAAATTTGAAGAAGTGGGGACCATTGGAAAAATTTCACTTTTAAAAAAGTCATCTAAAAATTCTGAAAAAATTCAGGGACGTAAATCTCGACGTGCTGATTACAAAAATATAGGGTGTTGATGGTCACGGAGCAACATTTTCGAAAGAATCTCTACGAAATGCGAATTTTTGAAGATTTCTAAAAATCGCGACATTTCGACGCTCGATTCCGGAAAAACGGTTGCATTTATCAAAGAAACGAGACCGTAACTGAGTTCTGGAGCTCGAAATCCACAAGAAAATGTATTCAGTTAAGTTTCGAAAATGTCAAAAATTGGCCGAAATTTGAAGAAGGGGGGACCATTGGAAAAATTTCACTTTTAAAAAGTTCATCTAAAAATTCTGAAAAAATTCAGGGACGTAAATCTCGACGTGCTGATTCCAAAAATATAGGGTGTTGATGGTCACGGAGCAACATTTTCGAAAGAATCCGAGCGAAATGCGAATTTTTGAGAATTTCTAAAAATCGCGATAATTCAACGGTCGATTCCGGAAAAACGGTTGCAGTTATCAAAAAAACGAGACCGGAACTGAGTTCTAGACCTCGAAATCCACAAGAAAATGTATTCAGTTAAGTTACGAAAATGTCAAAAATTGGCAGAAATTTGAAGAAGGGGGGACCATTGGAAAAATTTCACTTTTAAAAAAGTCATCTAAAAATTCTGAAAAAATTCAGGGACGTAGATCTCAACATGCTGATTCCAAAAATATAGGGTGTTGATGGTCGCCGAGCAACATTTTCGAAAGAATCGCTGCGAAATGCGAATTTTTGAGAATTTCTAAAAATCTCGATATTTCGACGCTCGATTCCGGAAAAACCGTTGCAATTATCAAAAAAACGAGACCGGAACTGAGTTCTAGACCCCGAAATCTACAGGAAAATGTATTCAGTTGAGTTTCGAAAATGTCAAAAATTGGCCGAAATTTGAAGAAGGGGGGACCATTGGAAAAATTGCACTTTTAAAAAAGTTGTCTAAAAATTGTGAAAAAATTCAGAGACGTAGATCTCGACATGCTGATTCCACAAATATAGTTTGTTGATGGTAACGAAGCAACATTTTCGAAAGAATCGCTACGGAATGCGAATTTTTGAGAATTTCAAAAAATCTCGATATTTCGACGCTCGATTCCGGAAAAACCGTTGCAGTTATCAAAAAAACGAGACCGGAAGTGAGTTCTGGAGCTCGAAATCTACAGGAAAATGTATTCAGTTGAGTTTCGAAAATGTCAAAAATTGGCCGAAATTTGAAGAAGAGGGGACCATTGGAAAAATTTCACTTTTAAAAAAGTTGTCTAAAAATTGTGAAAAAATTCAGGGACGTAGATCTCGACATGCTGATTCCAAAAATATAGGTTGTTGATGGTAACGAAGCAACATTTTCGAAAGAATCGCTACGGAATGCGAATTTTTGAGACTTTCTAAAAATCTCGATATTTCGACGCTCGATTCCGGAAAAACG